CAATTCGTGATGTTGCTTAATTGTAATTTCTTAGAACACAAATACGTATGGGAAAATAGATTAAATAAAAGTCACTTCGTGTAGAACCTTACTGTTTGGTATGCGATCACAGTGCGACGAATATTGAAATGATATTCCTGAAGAGTCTTACGGAAACCCAGTTGAAAATGTGAGCAGATGATACTCGGCTTTCAGTGTAAACGTTTCAGGTAACATAAAACGAAAACTATAACATGAAACAATGCAATGGGCAACTGAACGTCAGTTACGCATTGCACCGACATAAAAGGTTTCCATATTTTTACTTCCTTTTCATATGTTGAACTGAAAATTGTAGTATATGAATGATTGGACAAAATTTTCCAGAAGCACGGGACCGCTTTCGCGGTCCTTGTCCCTTTTCAAATAGACATATGATAAAAGCTTGAATCTTTTCACGATAGCATTGAGAAAACGAGTCGGTGAACGAACAATTGTTTTCAGATATTCCTAGCCATGCTCTTACATATCATTTGGTGGAAAAATTCCTACATAATAATAGCCATTGGTTCAATTTAAGGTCATTAATCAGAGGCAGAAGACAGATCTGCAGAAAGAAAACATGGAATGGTTAATATACCAACTTCAATAGTTTCGTCCCAGTGAAATATAAACGTAATCTAGTCCGGTGTCTAGCCTTCAGAGCCCGGAAGATTTGTTCAGCAGACACACTGGATGAAGAACTATAAGTCATCCGCCAAACGCTGCGGGACAATGGTTACCAGGAGAAGTTCATCGATAAGAACATTCAGCTCACTCTGGAGAAGGAAAACTCCACCTGTGTTTCCAAGTAAGAACCATTCATAAGAATCCCATTTAAGGGGGACTCACATACAGAGAGCCTAGTCCAATCACTGAGAGCAGCTGTGAATTCCACTTTCCCCGCAGCCAAACTCAGACATCACCGGTGATGCGAATGCAAGTGAAAGATAAACTGCCGAAGCTTACCTCATCCATGATAATTTACTCTTTTAAGTGTCTGTGGCGCATGTTACATAGGTCGTACGGTAAGGCATTTGTCTCGGTGCGATTGTTAAGTCAGGGGAAGATTGGCTGTATCTCATGCGTAATCGTGGGGCACAAGATCGAACCGGAGAAAGCTTTCGATATTGCTTATCGTATCCCACTCAATCGATCGAGTTTGGACGCTGGCCATGGCCGAGGCGATCGCCATTCGCTTAATAGGCCCCAACCTATGTGCCCAAAAACGACTGGTGAAGGCGCTCCAATTGCCTTGGTCGGGTGTGAAAACCAAGACAGAACATGACGTATCACTTGACCCAGATGAGGAAAGGTCACATCAACTAACACGCTAAACATTCTTACACACACACACACACACACACACA